TACTGAGCATTTTTTCATATTTTTGTAGGATGTTTGTATATCTTCTTTTAAGAAATATCTAGAATTTCCTTCCTTTTAAGGTTGAAAAACATTTTATTGTGTGTATGTACCACATTTTGTTTTTCTATCATCTGTTATGGGACACTTGGGAGGCTTTCACCTTTTGGCTATTGTGTATAATGCTGCGCTGAACGTAGGTATATAAATATCTTTTTCAGACTTTACAATTCTTTTTGGTATGCACACAGAAGTGGAATTGCCAGATCATGTAGTAATTATATTTTTAATACTTTGAGGAACCACTGTACTGTTTTTCATAGTGGCTGCACTATTTACATTTCCACCAATAGTGCAGAGCAGTTCCAATCTCTTCACAACCTTGCCAACACTTGTTATTATTTGTTTATTTATTTTTGTGTGTGTAGTAGTCATCCTAATGGATATGAGCTGGTGACAAAAGCCTTTGTGTTGAATTAATATCTTATTGCGTTTTAAAATTGTTTTTCTGCAATTGTTTATGACAAATATGTAAGGTGGGTGGTGAATATAGCCAACCTCATTGCCCTGTTGCTAGTTACCAGTCTAACAAACCTCCAGTTCAAATAGTTTATTTTTGAAAATTTCATATCACTCATCTGCTTTGTAATAACTGGCTAAGGGATCAAGGCCTTAAATGAGGCTTAAGATGATATTTCTGTTTTTACTCAAGTTAGAGCCTTAATGGACTGGTAAGTTGTGGCTGGTGAATGGATTGGAGGTTACAGTAGAATCATTAAGCTCTGTCAAATTCACTTGATTATATTTAAGGAGATGAGAACTGTAATATATACTTCCAGACTCTTTCAGAGATACATATTTCTGCAACTATGAGGCTAGAACTTCTCCCAGTCCAAAATATTCAGAATAAATTAAAAAGTGCATCGACTAGGTTGAATGATCACTACGTTGAGAGACAGACAAAATTTCTTGTGTAAAATCATGTGTCTTTTGAATTTTAAAGATTGTAGACATCAAAAAAATAATGTAAAAAACCCAGCACTGAATTCTATTTGTTCCAGGATTATTTTAGAATTCCAAAAAGTTTTTTTAATGCAAAAATCTGTCATTATCTGTAAAAGATTTTTAGCTATTCCTGGAGCTGTAGATTGGCTATATTTTAGAGAGATGAGTCAGGAGGAGGAGGACCGGCTTGCCACAGCTGGGTCTGTAATCAGGGCTATTTTCCCCTTCCAGGCAGCAAGGAGGAGGTTGTGCAGGTGTACACAACGTGCCTTTACCTGCTTTCACCCTGGTTGGGAGTGGCATCCCCTTACTGCCTCCCAAGGCTGAGATTCTACAATCCAACCAATCCAATCCAACAGGGTGTTCTGTGGTTGGCCTCATACTTTGAGAGCTTTAAGACCTTGTTCAAGGCTGGAAAGCCACTAAAATCTATCTAGGGGAATTCCAACTCCTAGAGGCTGTGTTTTTGAGCACATTTCCTGAAGAAAGTGCAGTTTTAAAAATGTGAATACAAAGAAAGACATTATATATCAAATAGCCTACAGGCTAACATGAAAATTGTAGATCTTCTTTTTCTTATTCCCAGTTTGATTTGGAAAGGGACTTCAATGCAGGTTTTTAAAAGATCTTTGCATTATGGAACATTTTAAATGTATACACGCAGACAATGTAGCATAATGGACATCCGTATCCCTACTACCCAGAGTCAACAACTGAACAACTGTCAACGTATGCCATTTTTTTTTTTTTTTTTTGAGACGGAGTGAGTCTTGCTCTGTCGCCAGGCCGGAGTGCAGTGGCGTAATCTTGGCTCACTGCAACCTGCGCCTCCTGGGTTCAAGGGATTCTCCTGCCTCAGCCTCCCGAGAAGCTGGGACTATAGATGCATGCTACCATGCTAAGCTAATTTTTGTATTTTTAGTCAAAACGGAATTTCACTATGTTGGCCAGGATGGTCTCGATCTCTTGACTTCGTGATTCTCATCTGCCATTCTTATTTCATCTATACCTCCTTCCATTCCCTTCCGAACCCAGCTCAGTAACCTAGACAAATGCATAAAATGGGCATAGGTTTTAAAAAGACAGTGTTCAATGAAACATTGATGATCACTGTTATGGTTGGAGAGATGAGGTTTGACCTACATTTTATCTTGGCGTTGGTATCTAAAACCATGTGAAAACAAACTTAATGTGTTATCAGTTGAGATTTAAAGCAAATAACCTCAAACTAGCATCTAGTCCTTTGTTTATTCAATAAATACTTAAAGCCTTCCAAGAGCCTAGAAGACTGAAGTCTTCTAGAGAGAGAGAGAGAGAGAGTGAGTTTGAAGCTCCAGTATTAGATAGGGGAATCTAATGGGAAGATGCTTATAAAATGATCTTAAGACAATACAGGACACTTTTCATGGGCTCATCAAATATTTTTTGAGTACCCACATTGTCAGGCACTGAGTGAAGAGGTATAAAACATTCCTCTATAGGAAATACCCATTCGTTTTTCCTTTGTATCAACTATCTGCTTGCTCAGAAAGGTCATACCCAAATGACAAGTAAGCGCTATAACTTCTGGCATTCTAGTGGCTTAATTACAGAATAATGCTTTCTAATAACACAGATAAGGCCTTTCTAGATCAGCTGTACAAGAGCAAACAACAAACAAAGAGTCAACCAGATATCTCTGCCCTGGTTTTAAAATTAGTGTTTTTGAACAAATGAAATGACCCCAAACCAAAGGAAACTAATTATGGCTTGATATAGTCTGTCAGAGGCGATATGTTGACAGCATAATATGGCCTCATAGGGCTTTTCAAAAGCAACAGGGAAAGGAGGATGGGTAGAATAAATAAGGAGGGATATGGCTTCCATTTGCCAAAGTTAAGCTTTTCTGTGTAAAAAAAAAAAAAGCCCTAGTGAATCCCATCACTGCTTGGAATTTTCAGCTTTTAAAAATAGTCACTGACTTTGATGTTTAAATTGTGGCTAAGCTGGCCTTCTTTCACTAGAAGGAGATAAAATTTAGTTTTTCTTTCATCTATTCATATCCACACACCCCTTCTTAATCATGATTCAAAGAAATTGTTCATGTAACTCTTGGCTCTTGGCTGACCCACCAGCCTTACTAGTAAATAGTAAAGTGCTGTGAAGCTGAGCTGCCTGCCCACCATCAGGCGAGGGTTATAAAGATGGCCTCTTAGCCCGCAGCACACATGTAATAGAGAGACTTGCACAGCTGAAGGTTTTAGTATTCATGAGCAGAGGAAAAAGAGAAAATGCATGTCATTGTGGATTTGCTGATAAACTAAGGAATGTGTGCAGCCTCCTTGTTTAATCCACTCTGCCAAGTGAGCTTTGAACGCTAGCCTGCACTGAATAATAAAGATCCTTACATAGAGAGTGGTCGCAGGCCCTTCATTAGAAGCAGGAAAACCCAACAGCCGGATCAACATTTCAGTGCTATATTTAGCTGGTGGGAGAGAGAAAATAATCAGTTTGTCGCTCTACTTCCTCCTTTGGGTTTTGTCCTCATTTAACTTTTTATAGAGGGTTTTCTGGTTTATTTATGTAACAATAACATTTGTCAGATTTTTCTTCACTGCAAAAGTAATGTATGTTCTTTAAAGACAAATAAATACAGAAAAGTAGAAATGTTACTTCTCCGCTGAAAGGAAAGCCAATGTGCACACATTTCACTTTTTGCTCAGGTGTAGTTTTAGCTTCATTAGCTTTTTGGACATAGTTTGATCATACTGCATTTTCACTCGTCATAAACATTTTTATTTCCCCATGGCAAGAAGGTTTCACTTTAAATGGCTATATTCCTTTGGGAAATAATTACTTAATGGGTCTGTTAGTGTGTTATTCTTACCATTTGTTTGTTGCAAATCATCAGTCCCTAAACAACATCTTGTACATAAGGCTGTTTCCCTTATTTGGAAGTGTTTCCTTAAGATAGATTTTCTAGAATTGGATGGACTTTTGGAATTGATCCAACAGGGATAAAAGTTTTAAACATTTCTCTTTTTTTGTCTTTTTTTTTTTTTTTTCCTTTTTGTGGAGAACAGGGTCTCACTATATTGGCCAGGCAGGTCTTGAACTCCTGGGCTCAAGCTATCCTCCTGCCTCTGCCTCCCTAAGAGCTGGGATTACAGGCGTGAGCCATTGTGCCTCACAAAAGTTTTTGAGCATTTCTAAAGTTGTTGATGACAGTATTTTTTCACAAATATTGTACCAATTTACACTCCCACCAGCACTGTGAGAGTGGTCACTGGAAGTGTGCCATTGAGGTAGGCTTCCATCTGCCTGTATTTTTGCTCAAGAAGCCCTCAAAGACGAAGATGGAAGAATGGCTCTATTTCTGTCCACTTTGTTATGAATTTTACTTTCTCCACTCCTATCACATTGTTATCTGTTTTGCATTTAATACTCAGTGACCTTGAACTTATTTCTCCACAGCAGATCTGTCCTTTGCCTCTGCTGCAGGTGCTTTGTATCATGACTGTTAGTCTTTACAATTAGTTTGGATTGGTCTCTTTAGTGAGGACATTTCTCCACTGTTCATCCTCCTGTTGATTTTAAGAATTACAGAGGGGGTCAGTGGCAAATAGAGTAAAATATGAAACAGTGGAAGAAGTCAATCCAGGTTGTGTTTGGAGAAGTATGCAAAATTTTGGTGATTGTAGGGAATTTGGCTTTTATCTCAAACATATTTTATATGCAGAAAACTTCTACCTGTTGTGAAGTATGACATGAATATATTTTGTAGGCTGCTGGAAAACATTTTGGCTTGATAAGGAATTTTCACTTGCAATGATCTGAATGGCTACATCTCCATAACTTGTGAAGAGGAAGTAAATAAATGTTTGTAAAATATTCTGATTGTGCCAAAAGCAACTTTGATCGTATTTTGTCATTGGTTTACATAACATGAAAATGTTTCAAATACTTTTCAAAACCATAGACAACTTCATGAAGTGGATTTGTGCAGCATCCAGATTTGTTACTGCACACCAGGGTGCGCTGAGAAGCACCCAAAGAAAGAAGAAATGTGTATGTACTTGCATGAAACCAAATGCTGAGTCTTTCATCTTGATTTTTAATTTTAGCTTATTCAGTGGAGGTTTTTGGGGAAGTTGGAGAATAAAAAATGATGAGTAATATAAGGTGGAGAAGTATATTTTTCTAGAATAATTGGGAATTTTAATATATATACTGAAAAGGGCTCTTTGCTGGTTTCGAATCAAGAAATACAGTAGAGAGTGTTGCCATGACCTTCTTACATGTCTTCTAATATGATTTTCAAATGACTTGGTTCAAATAAGTTTGAATGAAAGCTTGTACTTTCATAGATTTGTATAGAGAAAAATATGAACCCCAAGTATTAACACAATTCAAACCTAATGAAAGAGCTATTCCCATTTATGAAAATGTCTCATCTTAGACAAGAAACAGACATTAAAGTGCTATGTAAATGCTTCCTATGTAAAATTTAATAAGAAATCAATGCATTTTCAATTTGTGCCACTTTTCCCGCCATAGAACTTGGCATTAGATATCATTGTGTTACAACCTTTGTCAACTATAGATCATTTTAAATAATTTATTTCAGTTTAAAAAATTGCTGTAGATATTAAGCTCATATCCTGATAAACCACAAATGTTCTTTACAGTTTTCTTTTTGTGAAATTATTAAAAATGTCTGGTTTTAACGTGGGAAAATGCAGAAATTTTCTATTTTCAATCAGCTGTTTTATTCGCTGAAGCATCTCAATGCTAGACAATTGCAGGTTTACTTATAGGCAGAGATTCTGTAATTGTAGTTCTCTAAAGAAGCATAGAATATATATTATATTTGGGACATTGTACAGAATTATATTTCCTTATTCAAATGAAATTCTGAAAACTATAAATTCAGTCATCATTTTACCACTGATGAGAATATTGAAAACAAAAGTTAGTAACTACAGCCAAACATTCCATTAGACAGAACCAGATTGTTTTCCCAAATATTTTTCTGTTTATGTTGTGTTGCTAACTGAATATGCACTGGAATAACGGGTTTGCAAAATCTATTGTCAATACAGGTGCTATTTCAAAGTTAAGTAAGATAATTGACATGGTTAAATGAGTATAATATGAAATATATCTTTGAAATGTAAGCATTATAAGACTCTCCTTCATCTAAAGGCATGCTTTATGTAGAATACAGGTAACTTAATTTTCTAGATAGATGAAGAGGAATAGTAGCATAAATAATTTTTAAATGCACATAATCTAAACACGTTTTACTTGACTTTAGAAAGTATTTTATGTAATTTTTATTTTGGTTACAAATGCTGTATCCTTGTAACTGTGTTCTTTTAAAGCTAATACTAAATTTAGTTTTAATTCAGAGAGCATTCACCAGTTGATGGAAGGGTTTTAGTGTTTCACTAAGTGAACTTTGTTCCAGCATATCACCCACCTCTCAAAAAATATCAGGTACATTTCTTCCAGGTTTTTTTTTTTGTTTTAAACCTTAAAGAGAAGATCTTCTGTAGTAGACAAACCTGGCTTAAACTTATAGCTCTTCCAGTCACTAGCTATACAACTTTGCAAGAGGTTTTAAACATATTTTTAAAATTTCTGTTTTTTCATCTGAAAATGGTGATGATAATGCTGGGATTTCTGGACTGGTGTGAAAGTTGAATAAAATAATGTACTTAGCACAAGTGCATGGTATAGGGAAAGTGCTCAGAAATTGCAAGTTATTATTAAGAGATACTTTACAAAGGCCAGTTTGCCCTCCTCTTTAACTCTGCTTCTCCAAATTTTATGGATTCTTTAAGACCCAGTTCAAATCCCATGTCCTTTATGGATGCTTCCTTGACTTTGCTTTTTAAATCTCCTTTTCTTTTCTTTATGTAAATATTTAAAAATTAAATTGATAATGCAACAACAAAAATATTAGTTTGGTGCAAAAGTTATTGTGGTTTTTGCAATTAAAAGTTATACCTCTGCCAGTTAACTAGCTGTACAACTCTCAGCAAGTAAAAGTAACGATAAAAACCACAATTACTTCTGCACCAACCTAATAGTATAGAGGCTTATAGAACACAGTAAGAATCTGCTGTCTGCCCAGGCTGCTTCTAACTCTCAGCCCCACTATTCCAGGGTGTGGTAGTCATGCATGAAATCCAAGGTGGCAGCATTGCTGAAAGGCAGCAGGACAAATGATGGGATAAAGAAAAGGGCAAATGACACCTGCCTACTTTCTCTTAAAGGAGTATCCTGGAAGCTGCCATATTTCACCTCTACTTCTATCTCCTTGGCTGGAATGAAGTCACATGCCCACATCAGCTGAAAGGTGGCTGGGAATTACCTTTATTATGGGACACTATATGCTCTGCTAAAATTCGATTATGACAGAAGAAGAAAACGTGCCTATTAGAGGCAAAATTGGCAGTCTTTCAGAGTTGGAGCTCTTTATATCTTTTCTTTCCCAAGTATTGATCTCTCTTTTCCTCCCCAGTGTCCTCTGATATTTCTTCTAGCCCTGGCTCTCCTCCAGGACTCAGTTATATACGAAATGTCCCAATTCTCCTGTATTGCTCATTACCATAGCTCCTTTCTGTTCATCAGAATTAACCTTCTAGAAGAGAGCAGTGCTTTATTTTGCTTAAGTAAACTGCATTTCATTGAAAATATTGATGCACTATTGTGGTGGATAGCAGGTTTTTTTTGAGAGAGACTCTCGCTCTGTCACTGAGGCTAGAGTGCAGTGGCGTGATCTCGGCTCACTGCAACCTCCACCTTTTGGGTTCAAGCAATTCTCCTGCCTCAGCCTCCCGAGTACCTGGAATTACAAATGCCTGTCACTATGCCCAGCTATTTTTTTGTATTCTTAATAGAGATGGGGTTTCACCATGTTGGCCAGGTGGGTCACGAACTCCTGACCTCATGATCACCTGCCTTGGACTCCCAAAGTGCTGGGATTACAGGTTTGAGCCACTGTGCCCAGCCTGTATTTTTTTTTTTTTTTAAACCAATACCTGCTTCCATTCCTCCTAGGAAGAATTATACTTCCCCTGAACCATTGATTGATCATGTGGCTTCATCCAATAAAAGGTAAAATTAATTAATAAAATGTATCACATTGGCAGAAGCTTTAGGAATCTGTCTGGGCTTCAGTTACTCTCTTTGTTTCCTCTGATACAAGACATCTTTTGAGATGTCACTCTGGACTGGGTGCTAGAGTGAAGACAACATGGAGCAGAGCCTCTTCTGAGTGCCAGTGGACATGTAGCGGTGAGCAGGGCGGAAACCTTTGTAGCTGTGAGCTACCAAGCTCTTGGGGTCATTTATCACCACAGCGTATTTGTCTATTTTGACTGATATGATCACTATGCTGAAGGTATTTCCATCTAAATTCTTTTTTCACCTAAGTCACCTCTACCCCACTCAGGAAGGAATGAGGAGGCAAAACTAGAAGGGATTGATAGGAAAAGGAGAGCTCATTCTGCCATTAAGACCGTAATGTCACCAGCTGCCTATTTTATATTCTAATTTCCAAAATATACTTGACATTTTATTTTAGCATTTCCAATCATATATAAGCGAAATGTTAAGTGAGGTGATTACAGCAGGAAAAAGTGGCCCCCAAATGAAGCTATTTATATCTAATTTATCCTAACTGTCTAGGAGCAATGGCAATGTCTTCAGTTAAAAAAGAAACAAAACAAAGCAAATACAACTAAGGTAAGGCCAGGCACAGTGGCTCACACTTGTAATTAAAGCACTTTGCACTTTGGGAGGCTGAGGCAGGAAGATCACTTGAGCCAAGGAATTTGAGACCAGCTTGGACACAACATGATGAGACCCTGTCTCTGCAAATAGTATCAACAACAATAATAATAATAAATCCAGATGTAGTGGCATGTACCTGTGGTTCTAGCTATTTAGGAGGTTGAAGTGGGATGATTGCTTGGGTTCAGGAGTTTAAAGCTACAGTGAGCTGTGATTGCACCACTGCATTCCAGCCTGGGCAATAGCAAGACCCTGTCTCAAAACAAAACAAAGGAAGACATTCCTTAATTGTGTTTTTCTCTATGTGTTTAACCCTCAACAAATGATTGAGAAAGCTTTAATATAGCCTTTCATATGTATGGTCATGTGATCATTAGTAAGTGAAAGTGTTGTTTCATTTCATAAATGAATTTGAACTAAGTTGTATATTTCATACCAGGAAGCTAAGTTCCTGGGACTGGTATATCCAGCCTCAGGGTTTTGGCCTTATGGATCCTGGCCATGACTGTTATTACTCTTTCCCTCCCTAAAGGCTTGTTAGCATTTTAAGCAGGTGAACTCTGGGCATGGAATTATGACCTGGCTTTTCATTATGTAGCCCTCCTCAAACCTTACCTTACAAATATTTTTCATGCATTCCTACCGCCTATGCATTGTCAACCTCTTTCTCCTACCCAATCTCTGCAGATGACTCAATAATAATGTTTTAGATAAGAGGCAGAGATATTTGGCAACAAAGAAGATTTAGAAACCTCACGTAAACAAGCTAATTCTTGGTTTTGAGAGATGTGCTGATAGTTTGTTCACGGAACTAACAGGGTAATAGTTTGATGGAGTGCACCTTGGCCATTTATTTACCACTCCATATCTGCAGCATCCAGGACAATATTTGCCACACAGCAAGCATTCAGTACTCATTTTGCTGAGGGAAAGAATGACAGATACCTTGGAACTCAGACAAGGCCTTGGGGGACCCTCAGCCTTTTGATGCTAATCTTAGTATTTTCTCATTTTGTTTCCCTTTAAATGGACCCTTAACATTACAGGATTGAAATAGTGAGGCTGGCTTTTTAAACAATCATATCAACACATCCAAAAGAGATTTGACCTTTAGATTCCTTACCCTAGGAAGTTCAGTGAGGTTGCCATTGCTCAGAGTACCTTATGAACCCTGCTGCTTCCTCAACAGGCAATCCCTTTGAAGGGCTGGTGTGTTTATATCACAAGTGTTACCAAGTACCAGCTGCTGTCGCTGGATGACATGGACTCTGAAACCTGCAGTGCCCCTTCTGTTCCTCTGATTCCTACCCTAAGGCAGCAATCGTTGATAGAAACAGTAATAGTTAATGAGTAATTTCCCCCAGCATCTGGTTGACTTTCTAGGGGTTAAAAAAAAAATCAAGCAAATATACTGGGCATCTGAAATTCTACAGTAACCAACTCTCTCTAACAGGTGCCTTCCTGTGTGGTTGTTTTAAAAAGATGACATTGGCACTAGGGAAGCAATTCTTCATTAAAATAACTGAGACTGCTAGAGATATGGCTAGATTAGTAAAGTGAATTACTATCACAGGCGCAAAGATGCCCCAGATATTGGAGTTAATATTTGGTTATTTTCTTGGTGATCCTGAGGGCACTTATTTATAAGGAGGCAGTAAATTGGGCACTGGAGAGAAATTGGTTCATTTTAATAGACACTTCTGTAGTTCAAAAAAATAAAAAAGGATTTAGGTTTTGTATCGGCTTTCAATAGATGCACAAGTTAGAAAATTGAGATGTAGAGGTAAAAATTGTGGGCTCTGGGGTTAGGCTGCATGGATTCAAATTTCAATTTGCTGATAATGTGATCTTGAGTAAGGGACATTTTTTTCTATACCTTTTCTTATCTATAAATTGGGTATGGCAGTAGGTAGTCTTTACCTCATGGGATTTTTTTTGAAATTAATAGATTTTATTTTTTGAACCATTTTAAATTTCCTGGTACTATGAAACATTTGCATTACTATGGTATATTTGTTACAATTAATGAGTCAATATTGATACATTTTATTGATATCTATAGTTTACATTAGGGTTTACTCTCTGGATTGTACATCCTCTGGGTTTTCAGAAATTGTGTGATGACATGTACTTGTCATTACAGTATCATGCAGCATTGTTTCTCTGCCCTCAGAATCCTCTGTGCTCTGCCTATTCATCCCTCCCCACCCTAGCCCCTGGAAACCACTGATCTTTTTGCTGTCTCCACAGTTTTGTCTCTTACAGGATGTCATATGGTTGGAATCGTACAATATGTAGTCTTTTCAGATTGCTTTCTGTCATTTAGCAATATGCATTTAAGATTCCTTCATGCCTTTTTATGGCTTGATAGCTCATTTCTTTTTACTGCTGAATAATATTCCATTGCTTGAATCTTCCACAGTTTGTTTATTCATTCACTGAAGAACATCTTGATTGCTTCCACCTTTTGGCGATTAAGGATAATGCTGCAGGTTTTTTTGTGGATATAGTTTTTCATTCATTTGGTTAAATTCCAAGGAGTGCAATTGCTTGATCATAGAGTATGAATATGTTTAGCTTTGTAAGAAACTGCCAAACTGTTATCCAATGTGGCTGTAACATTTTGCATTTTCCACTAGCAATGAATGAGAGGTTCTGCCTCTATATCCTGACCAGCATTTGGTGGTGTCAGTGCTTTAGATTTTAGTTACTCTAATAGGTAGGTAGTGGTATCTCATTGTTTTAATTTGCAATTCCCTAATGACATATGATGGTAAGCATTTTTTTTAAACATACTTATTTCCCATCCATACATCTTTGGTGAGACTTTAAGAGTTTTTAAGTGGATTGCATGAAACAACACAAATCAAGCACTCAGTATTGCACCTGGGATACAGTAAGTTCTCCATAAATATTACCTTTTCTCATTATTAGGATGCTGAAATTATCCTGGGAAATCCATCAGAAGAAGCTGGCAAGACACCTCATCTGCATTCTTAGGAAATAATATCAGTCTTTTTCTAAAAAATCTCTAATTGAGGAAAAACCAACACACTCTGGTATCCCTCAGCCTTCTCTGGAGGAAGTTTGTCCCTTGCTAGAGAAGAGTGGACGAGGGGGCAAAAGTAGACAAGGGCATTTTAAAAACTGGCTGATTACTTGAACTGTTTGGGAACCTTCATAAAATAGACTTCTGAGTCCCGTACTGATTTTGATGTACATGATAGGGCTAAAGAGTATATGGTTTTGTTTATTTATTTTTTTAAACACAGATTTTTGCTCTGTTGCCCAGGCTGGAGTGCAGTAGCTCAATCACAGCTAGCTGTAGCCTTGATGTCTCAGGCTCAAGCAATCCTCCCATCATAGCCTCCCAAGTAACTGGGAATACAGGCATGTGTCACTCCACTCGACTAATTTTTAAACTTTTTTGTAGAGATGAGGTCTCCTTACATTGCCCAAGCTGCTCTTCAACTCCTGGGCTCAAGTAATCCTCTCCTCTCAGCCTCCCACAGTATTGGGAATACAGTATTGGCCATCAGTATATACTTTAAAAATGTCTCTCAGGCTATTTTGATAATACACCAGGTGTCTAAACAATTTGACTGCATGATATGTCCACAACCACACAATTTATTGTTTAAGCTAATCACTTTTAAGAGTTGAAAGGTACTAATAACAATTTATTCAGGATAATATGTGACTACAAGGATAAGTTGGACAGATGTCCTGGAAAACTTGGGATATGTGTTCTCCCTATGCATAAGTCTTTTCTTGACTCTAAGGTTCTAAGAGCATAGTGATAAATCCAATAGAAATGCTTCCTAATGTGCTCTGTGTGTGTCTTGATATTCACTCTGATTTTCTAGAGAGAAAGAAGTTGGGTTTATATTAATATTGATAGATAATATTGAAAAGGAAAAAGTAGGAAAAATTAAAAAGACCCCAACAAGGTAGATTTTATTAGAATTTCAACCAAGAAAATTCAGAATTTCTGTTTATGTTGAAAGTGGCAAAGCCCATACTCAACTGAAATTAATTTTATATAAAAAGAAGAGGCTGGGTGCAGTGGCTCATGCCTGTAATCCCAGCACTTTGGGAGGCTGAGGCAGGCAGGTTACAAGGTCAGGAGTTCGAGACCAGCCTGGCCAACATAGTGAAACCCCATCTCTGCTAAAAATAATAATAATAAATTAGCTGGGCATGGTGGCAGGCACCTGTAATCCCAGCTACTAGGGAGACTGAGGCAGGAGAATCACTTGAGCCTGGGAGGCGGAGGTTGCAGTGAGCCAAGATCATGCCATTGCACTCTATCCTGGGTGACAGTGAGAGACTCCATCTCAAAACAACAACAACAAACCATTTATACTTGCTTGGGTTTTTCAAAGGTGCTCGTATCTAGAGTGATATTTTAATGAAAATGTAGCCTAATGTTTTTGTAAATCTTCTTTGCTTGACTTTAACAGATTTGAAAGAAAGCTAAGTATCAGTCAGAGGAGGATGTCAGTTTCTGTGGCACCCATGGCAATTTAGATGCAGAGCTCAACGTTAAAATCTACCCCACTATATAATTCTTGCAGGCTGGCACAAGTACAAAGGAGCCAACACTTGTTGGATTCATACAGTTATTTCAAGCACTGAGCTGTTTTACAGTCCTCCATCAAATAAAATAGACATTCTGATCCATTTTATGGATAAGTAACCAAAGACTTGGAAACATTAAGTAACCTGCCTAAGGTTACACAAATGGTAAGTGACAGAGACTAGATTTGAAACCCAGGTATGTCAAGGCTCTTTCCTGTATATCAGCCTGCTGCTCCAGTTGTAGAAAAGGATGCATTTTACTGTAGTGGAGGCTTCAGCTGAGCTGAGGTCACAATTCAGAATTTACATGGGGCTGGTGAGTTTATTGGTGGAAACCCAAAGACAAATATTTTGAGTTTTTGCATTGGAATTTTCATAAAGTAGACTTGTGTGAATATGATAAGGACAGAAACAAAGGGTGGTGTTGAAGGCATTATGACATTAATTTCTCCACCTGGTCTACCCTCTCTGGAGAGGTGATCTAAAGGCAGAAATAAGTCAGCTGTTTCCATGAGGAACTTTATTTCTCTGTTTGACAGAGTGTTACTCTGGTCACCCAGGCTGGAGTGCAGTGGTGATCATAGCTCACTGTCACATCAAACTCCTGGGTTCGACTGATCCTCGCTCCCCAGCCTCCAGAGTAGCTAGGATTATAGGCACACACCATCACACTCAGCTAATTTAAAAATATTTTTGTAGACACAAGATCTCACCATATTTCCCAGGCTTGTCTCAAACTGCTGGGCTCAAGTGATCCTCCTGTCTCAGCCTCCCAAAGAGCTAGGGTAATAGGTGCGAGCTACACTGCTTGGCCTCATGAGAAATTTTTTTGTTGTCATATGAACATAGCGTGACAAGGTCAATGGCTAGAGGAGTAAACAGGAACTAATTTGTGAAGGGCTTTGGTGCTAAGAGAAAGGGATAGTACTCTATCCTCAGAGCAATAGGAATTTGTTAGAAGAATTAAGCAGGGGAATAAAATAGTCATCTTAGTGCTTTTTGAAGATCAGTGTGTCTGCAATGTGGAGAATGGCAAAGATGAGTAAGAATGGCGAAAGGGTGCTATCACAGTTTTGCATGGGAATGATGAGTGTAGTCTGAACTATAGGTGGCAGTGGAGATAGGGAAGAGTGGATAAATCTAAGAGATATCAAGTAGGTAAAGTTTGTAAACCTAGGGATTGAATGGTCATGGGGGTAATAAGAAGGGTGGAATCAAGGATGACTCTAAAATCTTTAGCTTGGAAAACCAGATAGTTGGACTGCCATTAATGGAATGGTGGCAGGTTAGTAAGTTCAGATCCAGACCAAACATATTAAGTTTGAGGTACTCTGAATGGTTCACATGAAGGTGACCTGGAAGCAGTTGAATAAAAATGTCTGGAGCTTGGGAGATAAATCTGGCCTATAGATGTTGATTTGGGAGATAATAACATACGAATTTTAAATTAGGTTATAGAAGTAGCTGATATCACCTTGTAAGAATATACAGAATGAGAACAGCAGAGAGTCTAGCACTAAGCTCTGAGGAAGGCAGGGTGGAAGAAGGCAGCTTTTGTGGATGATTAGGAGAGAGGGTTGTGGGAGTAGGAGGGACGCCAAAAGAGAGTGGGGTCATGGGGATCAAGGAAAGTTTTAAGGCAGGTGGGACCACCTGGGTTTGGGACTGATGGGAGATCAAGCAAGATAAAGGCTGAATACTGCTTATGAAATGTAACACAATTTTTATTATTTATAGGGACATATGTTAAAAAAAAGTTTGAATACCATAGTTTCCAGTTTGGATGATACTTTGATAATGTGAACCACTTTTAAGTCTATTCACGAAGTGAAAATTCTGGGTTGTGGGGAGAGGAAGTATAATAAGGAGCCACTTCCAAATAGCCTCTTAGGGGAAGGTGATTGGTCCTGAAAATAGGTAATGGGTGAGTAATTGATTGACGGTATGTATTACATAGTGCTTGTTTGTTAATTGTTGAGCAGTGCTTATGATATACTCGCTGCAGTCAGTTTTTCATTATGTTCATATGTATCACTCATATGCAAACACCAGGATGTATTGTTAGCTCAATTTTCAGGCCTGTGTTTAGTTGAGAAACTGTCTGCTGTGGCAGCCCCCCACCCCCACCCTATAAGGACCGTGATGACCGTTTCACTGCAAAATAGTACGCCTTTGACCCCGACTTGTTTCAGGAAATGGCTGGTCACAGAAAACACTCTGCCCATAACACTGAACAATATTTCCTCCTTTGAAATGTTCCTAAACTGCTCACTCATTCCCTTGCCTATCAAAATCTGCCAAATGTACCTGAAGGCCAATTAGGGTTTACTTCGCTTTCCAAAGTCCCACCTTCATGCAAGTCTTGCCAATCAAAGGCTGTCTCCTTGGCATTTCCTCTTTCTAGTCTAAGACGTACTTTCTTCTGAAACACTGTGAACCCCTGCTGAAAGCAAACTGGCTGCAGAATAATTCCCTTGCCACAGTTTATGAATAGATAGCTTTGTTAATTTTGTCTTTAGGTTTTGTTGGATGTAGGTATGAAAAAAATAAACTCCATTCTTCTCCAAATCGAACTAAATGCTATTTCATGCTCCATTTTCAACTGGTAGTACACAATGGCCCATTTTGGTCAACAAAGTCATTTAAGGTTCAAACTCAATCAATCCAGGATTTTCCTCTCTGCTCCTCTCACACCCTGGCTCTGGTGATATCTATGAATGCATTCTGAGGTATTTGTACAGAGTCTTGGCACTGCAGGAGTGAGTGAGGCAAGGCCTTGGGAGCATTTCGTTCCCATGTGGGGCTGGGACAGGCTCCTGAGAGCTGGAATTCAACAAGGCAGGTGCAGGAGAGGGAAGTGAGGGACATGAGCTTGCGGGGCTGTTGGGGAGCTGACATTTTCTCTTTCTGGTTTTATCAGCTAAACGGGTGTGTTTAGCTTGCAAAAATTCATCAAACTGTACACTGGATGCATTTTTTCTAACTGTATATATATTTCAATAAAAAGTAAAAAAACAAAACAAAACAAAAAAAACATTCTTAGGGACAGAGAATTTCTGCTGTAAGATGTTTTTCCTCTCTCTACCTGTGTCCCCGTTAGTAGAATTTGTTGCTCTCTAATAGGTAAACAAGTGATAAACCTCAAGTTATTTTTATTTTTACATTTTATAAGGTATTTCTATATAAACATATTTACATTTATAGATGTAGTTCAGCCTAGTTGTCAAAAAATGGCTGACTGCACTTTGAACTAACTGGAACTTCTTTGGGTAAACTTCAGTTGTACAAAGTTGCTTCATGTAATTATGTTCTAGATCCAGCTTTAAACTCTAGCCTTAGATGCAGCTATGCCTGTTGTAGATTAACATTAAAGATCTTGAGGGGCTTTGTGGAAGTCTATTTGCACCAGTGGTTTGGGCCAAAATCTCTGCTTTGGGCAGTGGAGAATTTGGCTTGGGCTCCATGTGTGCTTGTGCTCAGATGCTTGTGCAGATGCAAATTCCTGGTGCCTCTGGGCTTCTGATTGTCCTTTTACTATCTTTAGGACCTGATTTAAGGTTTTTTTTTTTTAAATGGACAAAACGGCAATTCCTTTTCCAACAACCTATAGCAGGAACCTTATAAAAAGACCATCAGAGACCTCATTTTTCTCAGAAAAAAAGAATGGAGGCGGAAATTAATTGGATGGAGAGAATTAACTAGGCCTGAAAATACTTAAGATAATTTTACATAAAGTTGGTCTATTTTTGTAATTTTTATAAACTAAATTAAAGTGGATTTCATGACACCTGTGGTTATAGAAACTTATTTCTTAGGGTTAG